ATGTGATGTGTTTGAACCTTCCTAAATAAACGGAGGCTGTACATGTCTATGTCATCTGCTGCCATGTGATGTGCAGTATCTTGCTCCCTGCTGATACCAAAAAAAATCTATGAAATTTTGGAAAACAGATTCAAAGCACTGCATTTGCTCACCATTTATAAAATATTTCTTTGCCAAACTGCTCACCAAGGAACCTGTGCACAGATTTAGACATTCATACATGGCACAGTATCATATGCAGGAAGAAGGCTGGGTAGTTTTAGAAATACAAAAAAACCCCCAAAACCCTCAGTGGGATTACTGATGCCACCATGTTGATCAAGTTTTCTTGATCTCAGAATTCAATAAGCATGAGAAAAATACAGCAGGTCTTGGATGTAAGCATAAAGACACCCCATGACTGTAGCCCTTGCAAACCTATCCCAGCTGCCTTCATCAAACCAACAGAGACTTGGTTGATTCTTCTGTATGTAAAACACAGGTAAATTTATCCAAGTGTCAGTAAACTCTAAGATGTCTTAAAATTAGATTTTTCTTAATGAGAAGCTAATCAGTGAATGAAGTTGTGGGGGAAGGGCAGGGTTTTTTTGTGACTGTTGTAGCCTCAGGCATCCGTATACACATTCTCCCTCATTTACAGCTGAGTGTTTCAGCCTTTCTGCTTTTCGTTTCTCCTTTGTTATAAAAGTGTTGAGGTTCCAAATACATTATTTAAGATTAGTATGAAAATTTAATCTGAAGGACATTCTGGCTTTGCTATCTTAGAGTTTGCTATTGCTTGGAAGATTTTTCTGCTGTTGTCATCTCCTCCCTTCCCTTCTTCCCTGCTTTTAGTATTATTTTTTTTCTCACTCATCATCTTCCGTCAGCTGCTGTTATTGTAGGTAGGCTTCTGTGACAAAAAAGGTGCTTTAGGAAAGAGTTCTGAAAATGGTCGGAATAATTTTACAGCAGGGCAATCCCTGGGGGATTTCCTGTTTGTCTGTTCCTATTCGCACATGAACAGAATGCTAGAAATCTTTGGGAATACTTCTATTCCTGTAGTGGAGCTCTCCCATTGTAGATCTGGCTGTGTGTACGTTCAGCTTAGCCACACTGCTAAAACACATCGAGTGTCAGCACCAGAAACTAACCTCCATTTGGAGCCAGTGAAAGACATGCTGCGCCTTATTCTTGTAGTCAAGCAGAATAATTGGCTACTTAGTACTTGGCTCATCTGATTTTATATGGCATATAATCAAGATCTTATGGCTCCAGAAATTTAATTGAATGGAAAGTCTGTAAGAGGCGCTTACGCTTCGAAGTTGCAACATGCTGACCATTCAAGAACCTGTATAGTTGAACATGTAATAACATTAAACATTCACAGGAGAATCATATTTGGAGAAGTGCATTTTCCCAGAAATAAAGGATTTGAAGCTGCAGTTTACAACATGAGATAGGTTGTCTTTCACTTCTGGGCTCCTTTGTCCGTTGAAACAATGAAAGTAAAAATCAGACTACAATTAACAATATGAGGAATTTCACCATTTTAAAATGAAGGGATGAAGGTTTTTCATCATCTACCTGATCCACCATCTCCTGAAATACAGCTCTGGTTTGGAAAATTCTTCTCTGGTTTGTTGTCTTTTGCAAATCAGTGATGACACTGGTTTTGCAGTGTTTTGCTTTTACTAGTGTAAATCCAGAGCATTATCACTGATGTCGGCAAAGAATCCAGGCCGGAACCTAAAGTGAGGGTTTTCATCTTTCTACAAAATCATTAAAAGACTTCCTAAAAAGAATTGTTTTGTAACTACAATCCGGCCCACTGAACTGAGTAAGGAACAGTGATATGATTAGAGCAGAATATCACTGAACAATTCAACAAGAATTGTTCTGAGACTTTTAGCTGGTGTACATTGCATTGGTATTATTAATTTCTGATCAGCTAACAAAACCACGTCACTCAGGTAGACCTAAGCAAGTAACTTTCATTTAATTTGCCTTCTGAAGGACATGACAGCATCTGTACATTTTGAGATGCAATTGCTGTTATCCTTCAGAGTTTTTTGAAACAAACACAATCATCCTCCTGAATTACTGACTTTTCATGACAATTTTTTGAGGTTGCATTGTTCTAAACTAATATCTTTCAGACAGATCCTGAATAATGTAAGAGGATAAAGCCCACATGAAAAAAACAAGAATTCAGAAATGAAATTTAAGCTGTCAAACTTTAACTTAGTTGATCTTTATTCCCTTAATATTCTTCAAACAAACCCCATTTCATTCTAGTTCATAAAGAACATTACCTTAGAGGCTATAATATCTCTGTATTTTATTCTAGGTCGATTTTTAAGTTAAAGCATTAGACATTTTAAAAATCCACATTCCAAGCATCTATTATGAACTGGATATATGAATTGCTGCCAAATGTGTTCTGTCCTTTTTGTTTGTTTGGTCGGTTGGTTGGTTTTGGGGTTTTTTTGTTCGGTTGGTTTTGTGTGGGTTTTTAAAAATATTTGTGCAGAAGAAAACAATTTCAGATCCAGTCCCCAGGCGAGATGTACAGGGGTAAAACAGCTTTTCTCTGCAGGATTTAGAATGGAAAGACAAATTTAATGGAGATCTTACCAGTGCTCTGTTTTAGAAAAGTACCCAAACCCATCTTTCAACCATACATAAAGTGCAACAGCAGTTCCTCTGTAAATATATCTGAGTATCACTTGTTTGCATATGAAAGAGTCTTGCCATTCGCAGCAACATGACAGAGCATGTTTCAAAGTCTTTTTTAGGGAAGACTAAGAAGTATTATGCTTGCTGTAGAAATGACTAAAAGGCCAAACTAATGACCCTACACACATCACTAAGGTGAGTCTTGAAACACCATATTGAATTCTGGCTTCTCTTCTGGATGTCAGAGTATGACATACTTGTATTTGTGAACAAACTTTGGGTTTTCATGGCTATTTAAATGGTGAGGAAAGAACACAACAAATACTTATCCCCCAGTTTATTACTAATGCTGGGCCAGAGCTGACAGCTAACGACTTCTAATTCCTTGGCTGTTTCAGAAGTGTCCCTGTCACGCAGCTGGCCTAGCGCAACAGGTTGAGCTCAGCCCAGTGGGAATGCCAGACTTCTCATGCTGGTGTCTTTCCTTAACTCTAATCCCAGTTTTAAAGTTTAGGGGCTAGCATTTGAACTAAAACCACCTCAGAGTACTTGGTTCCCTCCTTCCACTTCTGCTGAGTCTGCCACATCCAGACTGACCTCAGAGAGCTAGTTGTGAGAATAAGCATGCTAAAGAGAGAGATGTGTCAAGGTATCTCCATTAAAGTAATTATTGGTTTTACCTACTTTTACTGTATTTCTGCAAGTGGGATGTGGCCCTGGAGAACTAACAGTAGACAGTGCTTCTACTGGCCTGTACCTGTAGGTTACAGATGAGACTGGAAGTACTCAGATTCAGTCGAGATTTACACTGGGAGCAGAGGCTAAAAGAGAGCTAAGACTTCAGATTTACTGTTACTACAACCCTCTTGAGGTATGTTCACTGACATAATCCCACTCTACCCCAACTCTAATTTATGTGTGCATTTGATTTGTTTGGAAAACTGGATGCCTTTCAAAGCAAAATATTTAGCAGGCAGTTTTAGCAACATATAGCATATACAGTTAGTGTGCATAAATTACAGCTCCACTAAGACAATAAAATGGAAAGAAGCTCCTCTGGAAATATTCCTGCCTCTGTGTCAATAATCTGCATACTAAAGAGTCCCAAAGCACTCACTAGCATGATAGATGGGGCATTAAGTGGTGCCTAAGTAGCCCTTAAGACAATGCACAGAAGAAGTTCTAGAAGCATTATGCTCTACTGTAAGAAAAAGCACAGGAAGCAAGGACTTTAAGTCTATTATCAAAACCATTAAAAAATCAGATTTGATGCAATTTAGCTGAAGCTCAGATTAATGCATGTTTAACTGACCACACAGCAAACAAAGCTTCTCATAAACCAATTCCCTTAATTGTTTGAAAAGGGATTTTTAAAAAATTATTAAACGAATGCGGTTTAATTTCTGCAGGAAGTGGAGCCAAATCCATCATTGTGGATAAAACCTTCAAAGTGGAGTCTCAAAATGTAGAATGCAAAGTGAATACAGTCTTTGCTAGCTTCTAAGTGCAGCTTCACTACCCAGTGAAAAAAACTCTGCTCACTTCACAGACAACCCAGGTGTTTATTCAGAATCACACCTGTGGTTACAGTTAAAGCTGCTCTTGTGGCGTGCGAATGTAGCATGACACATGTAGCCTGAGAACACCCAAGTATAAGAAATTAGGACCACTGGAGGTGAGCTCTTCTGTTTCTGCCTGGGAATTTCAAGGACAGAGCCCACCCAGCATCAGTGTGGGTGTCATAGCTGTTCGTCTATTAAAAAATATGTGTGTCATTGGAGTAAGCACCCAGGAAAGGCACTGACTGGCATCCTTAGCTTTGGAGTCTATGCTAAGACTCAACAGAAGTATTTGATTCTTAGCAGGAAAAATGTTAGGACTGTGATTTCATGAGGAAGGATAATCCATTCATCCATCCCCTGCACATGTCCACCAGCAGAAACTCTTTATCTGTTAGGGAGAGTCAGGATCCACAGCTACCTTTGCTGTCTTCATAAGGTACCATAAAGGGGGAGTACTGGGCAAACACCATTTGTGAAGGTCCCATGCTGAATCTGTGGGAAAAACTACATTGTTTCCTATGAGTGTTATGACAGACTTTAAGAGCAAACTATTTTTACTCTTCAGAAAGGAGCAGACTAGGACCATAATTAGTTATGCTTTTCTGTCTTATCAGGCCTTTTAGCTGTTCTAAGCTGCACGCCTGTAAGGATTAACTCATATGAGGTGGAACTTCTCAGCCTGTATGAGCAGGATGCATAACTTTCATTTGATTTTCCTTTTTAGTGGGATAATATGCACTTGCTGGTGTTAGACCATTAGAATTTTGTACAGTGTCCTACCTGCAATGGATTTGGTGAAGTAAGAGGAGATGGAAGGCCATGTCCTGGTGACTGGCTGGGTTTCTGAGGAGAGCTGGAGGACTGTGGGGCCAGTGGAGGTTGGCTCTGGCTCTGGGACTGTGTTTGGTTCTGCTGTGGTGGTGCTGATGGTTGTGTCTGTGGCTGTTGGGTCTGCTGGGGTGGCTGTGGAGTCTGTGCCTGCTGACCTTGCTGTTGCTGCTGGCTTTGCTGCTGCTGTTGCTGCTGCTGACCCTGCTGCTGCTGCTGCTGTTGATGTTGGAGCTGCTGAAGATGCTGAAGCTGTTGAAGCTGGGAGTTCAGGGATGAGGTAGCTGTGGAATGAAGAGAGGGAAGGAAATTATGTAGGTTTCAGTAACACCTACTGTGTTAAAGCTGTCTTGGATCAAATCCTGGTTCTCTTACATTGTTGGGCACACTGTCCACTGAGACCAGCTGACCTCAGACTTCAGGCTGTGGCAGGAAACACATTCCCATCAATAACAGCCTGTGGTTCTGCCAGTACAGTTCTGTGGCAAGTCAGACTTCACTGGAAGCAATAAAACCAAACCTTTGGAAGGTCTACAGCTCTCCCACAGGATGGACATCAGAGCTGACCAGAAGTCTTTGCTCAGGCAAGCTTACCAGTGAAGCCAATGCCTGCCTAGAGAACAGGTGAACAGGTCGTCACTGTACGCACCATAGTAAGAAATCATAATGTGAACTGGTACTGTTATTTAAAGGAGAAAACCACAGCTGTAAAACAAAGGGTGCTCTAAAAAGAGCTTTGTCATGTCTTTATACAACAGGTATCAGGAAACATAACATTCAGCTATGAAATTTCTTGTTCAATGTGTAGATAGAAAAAATACCTGATAAAATGTGTGTCTGAAATCAGTACTTATTACCCACTGTAAAAGCTGTAATGTTCCTCCTGTGAAACAGGGTAGGTATTCTGTGCACTTGCACTGCTCACTTACACCTGGTAGTAAAGGTCTGTTGTGTTTTCCTAGAGGAAACCCATGGCTCACATCAACTTACTGGCACTGAGGAACAACCTTCCCAGAAGAGCTGGCACAGAGATGCTTACAAATTGACTAGGACATTTATTAAATTCAGGAAGCCAAGAAGTGTGCCACAGGGATGTCACTAAGGAAGAACACCTTTAAGCCGCAGCCAGAACACTACAGGAGTCTGATGATTTCTAGGCTCATGCCCTGAATAAGTCACCTGGTTCTTCAGCCTTACCCATTTTAACCAACATATTAGTGGTCATGTTAGATGGCTATAAGATCCCAAGAGGAACAGCTTAAAAGGTCATTGCACTATTTTGCACTTTGTATGCTGCTTTGTCAACACCACTCTGTATTCCAATTTCCATCAGCAGAAGCCAAAATAAACTGTGAATGAATCAAATTTGTTTTTTTTTCTAAAATGGCAGTCAGATTTCATGGCCATAAATTCTATTCACCAAGTTATTTGTGGATTGGCAGATAAAGCCAAGTCATCTCTGCTTTCTTTTTATACCAACATCCCTACTTCAGTTTTTCAGATGTCTATGCCCTGGGGATGAACCTGAGGTCTTGGTACGACTTATGAAATCAATGACCCATAAACTGGAACAAGGAAGAGAAAAAAGAAAAGAAAATGGAGAAAGATGAGGCAAAATGAGTATGCCAGAAAATGCTGTATGAAGGAGAAGTGAAAGGCTGGTAGGAAGAGCTGTTGGTCATCCATTCCTACACTCATAGCTGCTCTAATTTTTTCTTTCATCACAGGTGGGAATCAAACTACAAATCTGCCTTTCAAAGAATTATAGTCATGTGTATGTGACTTCAAAAAGAACCTGAATAAAGCAGAGAAGTAGGACTGGTAACACCAATATCTTTCCATCAGGAAAGCTACTGATGGAAGTTTGGTGTTTCAAAGTAAGGCAGAGTGACCATCAGATTAAAACCACACATGGTATTTAATGCAAAATAAATCAGCCTGGAAAAGTAAGGGTACACTCCTATCAATTCCACAATTGGAACTCGTACCTAAATGCCTCAAAGTGAAGCGAGTAGGTAAGTGGAAATATAATCTAAGGCACATGACAACAAAGAAGGAGAAGGTGTGTATACAAGAAAGCAACTGCATAGACAAATATTAACCACAGCACCTTAGATAGCAAGGAATATTATTCACCAATTCTATCTGTACGTATATGTACACAGAAGAGGAAGGATATAAGGGGAAAAAAACTTAATCTAGAGCAGCTCTTTATCTCATGCAGGCCATTTCCTCACCTGTGACAGTTTAGCAGTCTGGACAAACCATTGATAACCAAGACTTCAAACACAAAAGGCTTCCACAGACTCCAATACAGAAATCAATGCAATGATGTCCCACAGAATTGTAATTTGTAATTCACGTAGCTCACAGACAGGAACAAGGGGTCATTTTATACCCTGTGCGCACAGTTGCACACGAAGAGACAAAACTTCTGTAGTGAACTAGATACAATGGGAGATTTTTGTACTGCAATGGTCCCCAAACCATTTTGCTGCCACAGAGCACTCTTAAAGGCCATGGCTTGGAAGAATGGATTTGCCAGAATGCCATGTGTTGTATCTAGGGCACTGGGTCATGTAGTAAAGGACAGGCAAAAGCATTCAAGGTGAAGAGGAAGCCATCTACTGAAACATTTTTGGAGCACAGAACATGTTTGGCTCCTTGAGGTACACCTTTCAGCTAGACTTCTGAAAATATGGCCGATAATTAAAAGAATATTGAAAGTATTGATCTGAGAGAACTTGAAGTAACAGCACACAGGGATCACTGTGATTCTGATAACATAAAAGTGCAAAGACAAGTCAGTGTTAATTTTTTTTGACAATGATCTTATGATTTAGCTTATGGTATACAAAAAATACTTGCAGATAGAACATTTAAGAGAAAAGCATCACTGCCCATACTTCTTAAAACAGTAACATACAACATATTAGGAGAATGGTAAAGAAGCCCAAAGTGTAAAATAAGTGAAGTTTCTTGACAAACAAAAATAAATGAAGGGGTGCCTACATTATATTGCCAAATGTTTATTGCTTTGTTTATTTGCGTGTAGCTTGGAGCAATCAGAAGATTAATATTTAATAATTTTTAGCATCAGTGTTCCCCTCGGAGCACACTATTTCCTTTCGGGATGCTACCATTGAAATCTTGCCAGTGATACCAGTAGCCTTGCAAAATTACAGAGTGTAAAGCACAGATGTGGATATTCAAAAATAACACTGATCTGTTTGTCTAGCACTGGACAAAAATCCACACCTATTGAAATGCAGTTTTACTAAATGTATGAATCTGCTTAAGACAGATTTTATTGTTGCACATGCTACAGCAGCCCTGTGGAAAGGGACCTGGGGGTCTTGGCGGATAACAGGCTCAACATGAGTGAACAATGTGATGCAGCAGCAAAGGAAACCAACAGGATGCTGGGCTGCAACAACAAGGACATAATGAGCAGAGATAAAGAAGTCATCATCCTGCTCTACTTGGCACTTGTCAGACCACACCTGGAATATTGTGTTCAGTTTTGGTCTCTGCTCTACGAAAAGGATGCAGACAGGCTGGAGAGGGTCCAGAGAAAGGCCACAAGGATGATCAGAGGACTGGAAGACCTGCCATGTGAGGAGAGGCTGAAAAAACAGGGTTTGTTCAGCCTTGAGAAAAGAAGGCTGCAGGGAGATGTGTGATAGGACCAGAGGAATGGATGGAAGCTGCACATGGGGAGGTTTAGACTAGGTATTAGGAAGCATTTCTTTACTGAAAGGGATGTCAAGCATTGAAATAGTTTGCCCAGGGCAGTGGTGGAGTCACCATCTCTGGAGGCATTTAAATGGAACGGAGACCTGGTGATTAGGGCCATGGTTTGGTGGTGAGCTTGCAGTGTTAGGTCTAAGGCTGGACTGGATGATCTTGGAGGTCTCTTCCAGTCAAAGACATTCTGTGATTCAGTTTAATGGACATTTTGATTTGTACATTTTTTTCTTCTGTCAATAAAGAAAACAAGGGACAGAATCCAGAGGCGAGAAAAAGGAAAAAAATGCCTCCTAAGTTTTTTTTTCACCTAAAATTTTGCAGCTTCAGGTGCTACTGAGCTGCTAATGTAACCGATGTTGAACGGCCATTTGCAACATCTGTGCATTGACAACGTGAGCAGGTGCAATCACTCAGGCAAGCTGACTTATCTGATGAAAGGAGAGGATCTGAATTTGACTTGGAAAACATCAAGTTTGTAAATTCTGTGGGCATGTCCAGAACTCCCAAATGGAGATACGGAGATTTTTTTATATTCTCCATCTAGGAGTAGAAAAGCTTTATACTCAGTACTGCCTAATAATATTCCTAATAATAATATTCCTGGCAGACGCAGGAATATCAATACCTGCTGGGGGTGAAGGGGAAAAAACTGTTGATGGAGAAAAGTTACTTCATGGACAAGTTTCTACCTTCATTGCCAGCAACTGCACAAAATTATTCAAATAACTTCTTGTCTTTTCATATAATTCTTTTTAAAAGCCTTTCCAAAGTCTACTATCATGCTGAGCTATAAACTGCATTGAATTGGCTTAGTGAAGTGTGATTGTTTAACACTCTGTTCCTAAAGAAACAGATAGGGAATTGGAAGAAGGACTGTTAGATCAGACCAGGCTTTCCCAAAGCCACACAGTAGGTGTGCTGAAAAAGTGGATTTAGGGCTCTGGATCATGCCTGCAATCTGATGTCCAGGTTGCCCGATTGCACTGCCTCTCACAATGTGTTTACTATCCACAGCAGGGCTTGTGTCATATTATTGTTTGTAATCAAATCCTATCCAACTCCCAGAGCTTGCTTGCATAGCTCATCCATTATAAATCGTATACCTGTCTAGCATTTGTCACTTTCTGCAGAGCTTGGAGCCTGATGGAATTTCAGGTGGTACAACAGTGCTATGTCTACATGTATAAAAGATAACATGCACTGCCTTCCTGACAGGAATCTTTTTATGACTTACTGGCTAACAGCTCAGTAAAACTTTGACATATTTAAGTGAGAAGTGCCTACTTTCTTTCATAATTGCACTCAAGAATTAAAGAGATTGGCAAAAAAAATTGCAAGAAGTTACTTCTGTGGTTAAAAAAGACAACATAAAGTACCTCAATTTAACAGAGAGCTAATTAGCTATAAATGCATGCACACAATGAAAACCTGTAAGGAAAATTCACAAAAGCCTTGTGGCATTTCAACTTTCCTTGAGAAAAACGCACACTGAATATATACTGGGTATCCAGTAAGATAGTAAGAAAAACTAAGA